GAGAAATGCAGCCTGAGACTTACAACCGATACCGGAGAGGTAACCCCAAACAGGGATACTTGAGACCCAATGACGCAACAGCACATACACACCCTGGGGACAACACTAGATGTATCCACTCATAAATTGCCTTACTTCACTCACCATACTTTTCTTACCCTCGACTCGACTCACCTGCCTAACATATACTTACCTACAAGCCTAGCCGACATATGTGACGCCTTCTGGCCAACCCTTCTGATTAGCCACATACCGTACACGACAATAGCGGACAGATGTCACCATATGGGCTGGGAATACCCTATAATTGATGTATTCTATGTATACCACGCCTTTAACCCAAAAATAACAGTGCAGCACATATAACCATCTCTGCTTGCCAATTGTCTATTATGGAAATGTATATGTTTATACCACTGCAATCTGTATACTCCCTGCTGCACTGTCAAAAATAAAGAATTAAAAAAAAAAAAAAATTACATAAATATATATGTAGAATTAATATATGTATATATACGTATGTGAATCTCTATGTGTATATCTATATAATTTTTTATTAAATATTTTTATTTATATATAGGTATAAATATAGTGATATATACGTATATATTTATGTATGTAGATATATATTATTTCGTTCTACATGTATTTTGATATAAATATATATATATATATTAATATCACAATACAGTTAGAACAAAATAATAGACATCTATATATTTTTAAATTATTTTTTTTAAATTATTTTTTTAATTTTATTTTTTAACGTATTTACATATTAAATTTTTTTATATTATATATAAATATATATAACAATAATTATATATATATTTAATCAGTATCAGTCTACGTGTAATTTGATATTAATATATATATATATATTAATAGTAAAATACACCTACACAGTGTATGTGTGTGTATGTACTACTAGAACCTAAGAGAAGTCATCATTATGAAGGCATATCAAAGTGAATACTTTTTCTTAGCTCAATCAGTGCCTTATTTCAAATAAAAGTCTATTGCTTTATTTACTCAACATCAAACTTAAACTTAACATATTCCTAGTTTTCAATCTGACACAATGTAGCCTAGCTTTAACTCTACCTCTAACCACTAACCCTACACCTAGCTTTAAACTTAGTCTTTGTCCTGACCATATTGTTGGAACGTGGCCTTCATTTAAGAGATCACTGTGAAACTCAATACAAGGATGACATTTTCTTTTCTGTCTCAGCACCTGGGAACCAATAAACATCTGTTGCTGGATCTCATTTCATTGAATCCTAAATCTATCCTCATCCCTAGCCCTAAATCTATCACTTACCCTATTTGCTCCCCTCACCATTAAAATAGGTCTAACTGTAACACTTCACTAACCCAAACTTTGGATTTAACCCTAAAACTCAAGCTAGTCTGACCATAGCCTTTAAACTGATAGATTGCTGTGAAAACATACCAAATCTGCTTTAAACAATGTATTTCAGTGCTACATTCCATTTCTGTCTTGCAGTAATGTCCCACCAATAGCCATTACCTTTTGATGTATTATTGTCTGAACCCACAACCATATTTAACTGAACCCACAACCATATTCAACTGAAGCATATTACCCATAGTGATATAACTTTCCGTATGCAGTCATTTAATATCCTCTTAGTCATTTTCGCAAACAAACAGATCCCTAGTTCTAACCTATAATAAAATATCTGGGAACTAACCCATTTTCCTGTTTACAGTCATGATTCCTCCAAATAACGATAACCTTCCCAGAAGGATATTTCTTATTCTTCCCACATAGTTCTAAAGCCAAACCTACACATGGAGCCATATTATTGATTACCAATACACTTTCAAAACCATATTTCAAATGCCACAAAAATATTTTAAACTCATATTATTACAATATATTCCTTTTGTTTTAGGAGGAAAACTGATTTTGGCTTCCATTAAAAAGTAACCTGCTCTCTTCAATGTACAGTACATTTTAACAACTGGAAGATCAGGTGGCGATCCCTAATCAGCTCCACCAAGATGCAAATGACTTTGCTTTCCCAGCCCTTCTATCTATAAAGTCAAAGCATCATTATGATGTCATGCTTTGTGTCTGTGATGTGTGTGTTGTCAACACCACGGAATGTTTACATGGCAACAATCTCTACAGAGTTACCAAGTACACATTTATCCTGGGAAATCTGTACAGTGGTGAATGAAATTGTTGAACATGAAGAAATAAAACCGTATGTTTGCCTGCCTGTCTATCAATCTTGTTGGTTTTTCAATTTATGTTCCCTATCACTTTCCCTTTGTATCTTACATTCATACCTCCATACTGCCTTACGTATTTCTTATCAGTTACTCTTTTCCAACAACCATATTCACAATTCACAAAGAAACATATTTCTTATGTCCACAGTGACATCAGCCTCTGCAGCCATTTCATTTCCAGACATTGAGTTTTGCTGCATACACAGATCCATATATATATATATATATATATATATATATATATGGATACCCTACTGTCAGACCGGGTAAACCGCGGCCCGACCGCTCGGTAACTCTACACGCAATGACCGGCAGGAGGGGAGCACTGTGCAGTGTGCTCTCCTCCTGCCGGTCACCCGAGGATTGCGCCCCCCAGGCCGGTGCGCCCTAAGGCGGCCACTTGTGCCGCCTTATGGTAGCGCCGGCCCTGCCTATAATGATAAACCCCACAAATGATATTTTTTTTCCTCCTCACAGTCAAATTTCCTCCACACAACCATTTCCTTCCCACAAGAATTCCTTTTCTCTCCTCATGAATATATTTTACATTATGATTTCCAATATATACGTACAAGCATTTTATCCATGACTAATATTATCATCGTAATATTATGACAGAAACACACTCACTGACAGACACACAAACACACACTGACACACAAACACACACACACACACACAGACACAGATACTCACTGACATACACACACACCAACACACACACACTCACTGAAAGACATACACTCACTCACTGACAGACACACACTCACACACATACACACAGACACTCACTGACATACATACACTAACTCATTGATAGATATATACTGACAGACACACAGAGACACTCACTCACTGACAGGCATACACACACTCACTCACTGACAGTTAAACACTCACCTCCCTGGGGTCCAGTGGGGGCAGCTCCTCAATACTCCCGCCCGTTGTATAGTATGCCGGGGCCGGAATGACGTCATATTCTGGCTCCTGGCCTCACAGAGGGCGCGCGAGGGAGGAGTGAGAGGATGCTAAAACAGCCTCCCTCGCCGCATGCCTGATCTGTCCCCCTCTCCTCGCCCCTCTCATCGGCATTTAGTGGCTGAGCAGGCACCTACCATCAAGGTAAGCAGGTGCCTGCTCTGCCTTACCAACTCTGCATCGGGGGTCACATGGCCACCTCCTGCCCTCTCCCCACCCCTCCGTGACAGTCTCCTCCCGGCACCCCCAACATCCCGGTGGGTGCCCCCTAGCAGGCCGGCGCCCTAGGTGAATGCCTAGTTCGCCTAACGGTGGTGCCGGCCCTGTGTGGAGCCATTTTTTTGATTACTAATACATTTTCAACAACTGGAAGACCTTACTCTTGTATATTATTTTGTTCTGCATGTATTTTGATATAAATATATATATATTAATATCACAATACAGTTAGAATGAAATAACAGACATCTATATATTTTTTAATTATTATTTTAAATTTTTTTTTAATTTTCTTTTTTAACGTATTTACATATTTAATTTTTTTATATTATATATAAATATATATATAACAATAATTGTATATATCTTTAATCAGTATCAGTCTACGTGTAATTTGATATTAATATATATAATTATATATATATTAATAGTAAAATACACCTAGACAGTGTATGTGTGTGTATGTATATGTGTATATATATACTTAGATCATATATATATGTTATATATATGATCTAAGTATATATATATATTTTTTTTACACTAATAAATTTTATTTTAATTTTATTTTTTAGCCAGCAGGGGGACCACCTGTCATTACAGGCAGCCCCCCTGCTGGCAATGCAGGAGGCAGCCTACCCGGCCATGTGATTGTGGGGTCCTCGCAAGGACCCCACTCTCACATGGCCGGGGGGCACCGGAGGAGGAGGATCCTCCGGTCTGAAGGGGTTAACAGACACACTCTCACTCACTGACAGACACACAAACACACACTCACTGACAGAGAGACACACACACACACACTTCACTGACAGACACACGCGCACACTTCACTGACAGATACACACACTCACTGACAGACATACACTCAATCACTGGCAGACACACACTGGCAGACACACTCACTGACAGAAACACACTCACTGACAGACACACAAACACACACTCACTGACACACAAACACACACACACACAGACACAGATACTCACTGACAGACACACACACCAACACTCACCTCCCTGGGGTCCAGTGTGGGGCAGCTCCTCACTCCTCCCGCCCGTTGTATAGTATGCCGGGGCCAGAATGACGTCATATTCCGGCTCCTGGCATCACAGAGGGTGCGCGAGGGAGGAGTGAGAGGATGCTGGAACAGCCTCCCTCGCCGCATGCCTCATCTGTCCCCCTCTCCTCGCCCCTCTCATCGGCATTTAGTGGCTGAGCAGGCACCTGCCATCAAGGTAAGCAGGTGCCTGCTCTGCCTTACCAACTCTGCATCGGGGGCCACATGGCCACCTCCTGCCCTCTCCCCACCCCCCGTGACAGTCTCCTCCTGGCACCCCCAACATCCCGGTGGGTGCCCCCTAGCAGGTCGGCGCCCTAGGTGAATGCCTAGTTCGCCTAACGGTGGTGCCGGCCCTGTGTGGAGCCATTTTTTTTTGATTACTAATACATTTTCAAAACCATATTTCAAATGCCACAAATATTATCTTTTAGACTCATATTATTACAATATATTCCTTTTGTTTTAGGAGGAAAACTGATTTTGGCTTCCATTAAAAAGTAACCTGCTCTCTTCAATGTACAGTACATTTTAACAACTGGAAGACCTTACTCTTGTGGCGATCCTTAATCTGCTCCACCAAGATGCAAATGACTTTGCTTTCCCAGTCCTGCTATCTATAACATCAAAGCATCATTATGTCGTCATGCATTGAAAGTCTGTGACGTGTGTCTTGTCAACACAACGGAATGTTTACATGGAATCTCTACGGGGTTACAAAGTACACATCCTGAGAAATCTGTACAGGTTTGAATGAAATTGTTGAACATTAAGAAATAAAACCGTGTGTTTGCCTGCCTGTCTATCAATCTTGTTGGTTTTTAAAACGATATGTTCCGTGTCACTTCTTTCTTACATTTATTTAGCTTTGCTTTCCCAATCCTGTAGAGAAGGAGTATGACTGGGTATAATCATTTAGGAAATGCAAAAATGTTTAAGTGGCATGAACCGCCTGAAATTGTAAGGGGGAGATAGATGTCACCTGTCCGTTAATTGATTGATGATAAGTTGGATAATTTGAGAAATAGTAAGTTGATATAAATCAAGATTCCAAAGTATTTTATTTGTAAGTCTAACCACTTGATGATATTTGAAGCCTGAGGAGGCTGCTCGTGATGTAGGCCAAGACCCAAGGCAGAAGATTTGAACCAATTAACATGATAGTTGATAAATGGGCTGAAAAGAGTGATCCTATGCTTAAAGACAGGGGGGTATGTTTTAGGGTCAGTTATTTAGAGAATGATGTGTTCTGAAAATGCTGTGATACCTATTTGGTTTGCAATGACAGAAATTTCAGGAGATATATCTGAATTATGTAATATATGAATTAAAGGATCTAAGGATAGGTTAAAAAGAATAGAGTATAATGTCCAATGTAGGACCAGAAATTAGACAAGTCTTTTTTTCAAACGAAACCAATGAGATATGAATGTGAAGAAACACACAGCAGGAATACAAGGCCAAAACCAATCAAATGCACATAAAGGGATTCTATAGTGTAAGGAATGCAAAGCTGTATACAAAGCTGAATAAAAATAAATATAAAATCAAGACAGCGCAAACACACATTCAATACAGATACTATCTATATATAGTTAAAACTGTGATCACATATGCTAGCAGCTGAACACGCAAATAATTAAGTGCCAGTGCTTAGTGAAAAATTCCCTTTAGAATAATAATCTAGGGTACCATAAACAATGTAAATTGAACCTTATATGTTGAGTTAACATTCAATACAGTGCAGTATGAGTCTGGGAGGATGGGGATATATATCCTTATGTATTTCAAAAGTATCCAAAAGTGTCTAAAGGTAGCGCGTCCAATGTATCCACCAAGTATATACAGATTGATACCTTTAAAAGGATACAAAATGTGCACATAGCCTAATATTGCACACTTTATTTGTAAAAATCCCCAATCCCCCAAATGGAACCCTTACATAAAATAGATGTGGTATTGTCTCCAATACCACACAAACAGAGTTTTAACAATATTGTGGAGGTATTACCACTCTGTCTGTTGGTTGTCTCATCACACGTACCGGGGAAGATCTCACACAGGACAGGAGGACACCTTCACTGCACAGCGCTGTGTTCGCCTAAAGGCTCTGGAGGCGGCTTGTCATCAACGTGTTTCGCCCGCTTCCTGTGAGCTTTGTCAAAGCTAAATAAAAAGTGCCCTTAAATCCCCCTCAACCTCCCATTCCCAGCACTGCAAGGATTAAAAAACCCTTTTAACACTTTACGATTCCAGCACTGATATTCCTTGGCACTGGGTCAGCGCTTCTGACGTCATACGACGGGGGCCTAATGCACATGTCAGCGCCGCACGCTGCTGCATTTCTTTCTTATGAGGATTTTGATAATGCTGCATGTCCTCATGCTGAGTGCCCTCAAGTCCTCAAGCAGTTAGGAAACCTAAAGTCGGTTAGCAACCAGGAAGTGCCTCTAGTGGCATTTTTTTTGACAGCCACTATAGACAGTCTTAGTCCTAAAACTTCAATAATTTACATTGCATGACAAAGGGGTACAGGGACATTGCACCCAGACCACTATAATGCTATAATGAGGTGAAGTGGTCTGGGTGCCTATAGTATCCCTTAAAGCTGTGTTGGCACCCACAGTGTTCCTTTAAGGTAATATATATATTATTATGATAGATATGGCATATAAACAAATTTGAGAGAAATTTTTTAAATTAATTGCCAGAAAATTGTAAAACATGTATGTATTCTTAAGTCTTTGTATATAATATCTAGTAGCTTGTCAAACCTATGTACAAATATGTAGCCCAGGCATATGAGGTGGGCTTTTTGTATAAACAGAGATCAATTTTGTATGTAGCACTTCATGGTGGCCTTTCTAAATGAAATATTATGCCAGTGGATAAAAGAATGGGAGTGGATTTAAACCAACTGGACTTTTCCTCATAAAGTGTAATTGAAAACAAAGTTTTCATCCTGTTCCAAATTATTATGCAAATTATATTTTTCTTATTTACCTTAATAATTGATGTAAATAACAGTCAGCATAATTCTCATATTATCAACTATTAAGAGTACAATTCAAATGTTATTGAACAAACCTCCTAATGATAACAGTATTTTTTTATAAACATTAAAAACTTACAATGCACTGTTCCAAATTATTACGCACAATAAGTTTCAAAACACTTTATAGGTTGTCAAAAACTGAAAATTGTCATTTATTGTGCTTGCAGCATATTTACTGAAATCAAAAGCTATTTCAATCAAACTAATAACAACATTTTAACTTTTTAAACATTTTAACAGGTCATGTTACATTTTAACATAGGACCCCTTATTTGATAGCAGCTTCACAAGTCTTGCATCCATTGAACTTGTGAGTTTTTGGACAGTTTCTGCTTGAATTTGTTTGCAGGATGTCAGAATAGCCTCCCAGAGCTGCTGTTTGGATGTAAACTGCCTCCCACCCTGATAGATATTTTGCTTGAGGATGCTCCAAAGGTTCTCAATAGGATTGAGGTCAGGGGGGGATGGAGGCCACACCATGACTTTCTCTCCTTTTATCCCCATAGCAGCCATTGATGCAGAGGTATTCTTTGCAGCATGAGATGGTGCATTGTCACGCATGAAGATGATTTTATTACGGAAAGCATAGTTCTTCCTGCTGTACCAGGGAAGAAAGTCATCAGTCAGAAACTCCACATACTTTGCAGAGGTCACCTTTACACCTTCAGGGACCCTAAAGGAGCCGACCAGCTCTCTTCCCATGGTTCCGGCCCAAAACATGACTCCACCACCGCCTTGCTGACGTCGCAGCCTTGTTGGAACAGGGTGGCCGTCCACCAACCATCCACTACTCCATCCATCTGGACCATCCAGAGTTGCACGGCACTCATCAGTGAACAGGACTGTTTGAAAATTAGTCTTCGTGTATTTTTCTGCTCAATGCAGCCATTTCTGCTTGTGAGCATTGGTAAGTGGTGGCCAAATAGAAGGTTTATGCACAGTTGCAAGACTCTGGAGGACTCTGCACCTTGATGTCCGTGGGACTCCAGAGGCACCAGCAGCTTCAAATATCTGTTTGCTGCTATGTAATGGTATTTTAGCAGCTGCTCTCTTGATCCAATGCATGGATCTGGCAGAAATCTTCCTCAATGTGCCTTTATCTGCACAAACCCACCTGTGCTCTGAATCAGCCACAAATCTCTTAATAGTGCGATGATCACGCTTAAGTTTTTCATGAAATATCTGTTTTCATACCTCGTCTAAGGCATTGAACTATTTCACTCTTTTCGGCAGCAGAGAGATCCTTTTTCTTCCCCATATTGCATGAAAATGGTGCTCTGCTTAATAATGTGGAACACCCTCCTTTAGTGGTTTTTCCTTAAATTGGGCTCACCTGGCAATGTAATTATCACAGGTGTCCGAGATTGTTTTCAGTGATCAAAAGAGCCCTAAGACACAATGCCATCCATGAGTTTAACTGAAAAACAAAACATTTAATCTTTGTGACACTTAAATAGAATTTGCATAATAATTTGGAACAGGGTGTAGGTTAAAAATAGCTGAGCTGACGGTTCAGCGTAATTGGAGAATTTTTCCAAATAAACTATTTTGGCCTAAATTTCAGTTTAGTTTTTGATTCATTATAATTACATTTTTAACAAATAAACCCTATTGAGATAATTCCACACCAAACAAACTACATAAACTACATTTGTACATAATAAAACAAACAAAATAATAGATCACAGGCATAGACATAAAACAATATTGGGAGAAGCAGCTTAAGAAATTATTAATGGTCAAGTACTCAAAGAAAAAAAAATAAGACTCTACTCAGGGATGATGGAAGCGATGTGAATTATTTTTGTTCAGGCTAGGTCTGTTTATTTGGCTCTGCCTACAGAGTGATGTTAGGATTAAGATTCTCAGAATTCTTAGAGAGCAGCGTACCGGTGGGGAGCCTGAGTGACTGTAAGCATGGTTCTCTGATTTCCTAGGGAGTGGTGGCTGTTGTAGTGAGGTCAATAACAATATACCTCATCAGTACTTATGGTACCATGCACAGCCCCTGCACTGATACACTGCAGTTAGACATTAGATACCTTAGTCAGTCGGCTAGTCTATATATGACTAACTAGAAGCTGATATGGAGGTATCCATGGAAATGTCTATATTTTCTACTTAATGGCCAAATCTTCAATCAGTTTTTGAAACAAGAAAACAAAGAATACATTTGAGTGAAAAGAAACTGCATTTAGACTCCTTACCAGGAGTGCCCCATAAGTACCAACCAGATAAATTAGAAAACAATCTCTATATTTGTACATTCAGTAGGCTGATGACAACATGGGGGAGCACAGGGAGGGTTGACCAGAATTTTGGCATGGAATTATTTATTTATTTTTATCAAAAAACTATCTGATTTATTTTTTCTAAAGCATACATACTGACTGAATTCAAATAGTAATGCGTATGCTATTAAGTTTAATTTGGCAGTAAAAATTACTTTTTAGGATTTATTTTTGTAATCATCGAGGACAAACAAAATAAATGAAAGCCTTTTTATTTCTATGTGAAAGACAAATTGTGGAGGTGAAAAATACAGCATATAAATACATTCAGTATATTTATAATATTGCAAATGCATTTTATTAGTCAATATTTGGCAGCACATTCCTCAATTTAAAGGAGAGGATTTTTTA